AAGAACACTTGTCAAGAGCTCAAAGTGACACCCTAGTTAGACACATCAAGTAGCTTTAGCATCTCTTGAAAACCTTGCACGCTTCGAGCCTTGAAAACTCTTCTTGAAACATGTTTGCTTGCTTTAAATTGACATTGTTCTTAAAACCAGCTCCAATCTGAAATTTGGCTTAATGAACTTAACTTCTCTTGCATATGGGCACTTGCATACTTGATCATGGATCTCATACACATTTGGGTTATCTTATTCCATTTTACCACACTTTTGTTAACCCAAATGGTACTCCACACCCTTAACTTGAACCCAAGCCATTCTTTTGAGACCAAACATTTGATTTGCATGAGTGAGGCCTTCTTTTGATAGTTTGTCATGTGCAAAATCTTNACCAAACATTTGATTTGCATGAGTGAGGCCTTCTTTTGATAGTTTGTCATGTGCAAAATCTTGAGAGTATTGGAGGCGACATAGGATTGTTCTCATCTCTTGCTAGCATAGGAACCTCTTTTGAGCTAGCATCTAGGATGGTGGGTGGGTTTATGTGTTCTAAAGTTAATATCTTGGGTTTTGAATGAGAGATCATGAGGAAGTTTAAACAAAGTGTGTCTTGAGAAAAGAAGAAAGCCATTGGGGACTAAAAGAAACAAAAAGAAGCTCTAGATTGTGTTTTAAGGAACCCTTCCCATAAAAAAATAAACAAAGAAATAAGTTTGGGGGAGGAGATGTGTAAAGAAGAAGAGTTGGAGTTACAAAGTAGAAAGCTTGTGATGAGTCCCTAGTTGGTTGTGCTAAAATAAAATAAAATAAAATAAAAGAAGAGAAGAACTTGTTCATTGGGTGAGTGATGTGAGCAAATGTTATTTGGGGTATGAGATGAAGAAAGAAAGGGTTAGAAATCGTGATCACTTAGGAGAATGGTAGAATGATGAGAACAAGGCTATGTATGCATCAGTTGCTTCTAGTCTTAGATAAATTTTGCATAATGATCAAGCTCCTTGTTCTCGAGTGATAGTCACTAAAAATGATGCATCTGAACCCTCCTTTTTATTCTCATTAGACCTATTGCTTGCCTAGCCAAATGATTGAGATCATGTGCCCATTTGTGAGACTTCACTTTGTGTGTGTGTGTGTGAACTAATGTGAGGGCTGGTTTAAAGACTTGTAAATTCAAGAGTGTTGCATCTTGTTTAAAGGCATAAGAGTGTGTTGATAGACCTAGAGAAGCTAGAGTGTGATAAGAGAGTGTGTTCATGCTACTTGGAATGTCTCTTTAGGATGTTAAGTTGAGTTCTTAGATGTGTTTCTTTTGGTTATGAGTTCCCACCTTCAAACCTCTCTTTCCATAAATCCTTGAAAGTTCACTTGAGGACAAGTAAATGACAAGTTTGGGGGAGTTGATGTGTTGCATATTTACTTGGTTTTAACCTTGCATTCTTGTTCATATTGAGCATATAGATTAGATTTAGACACATTTAGGTTGCATTTTGCATTCATTTGTCTTTATCAGGTGGTGAAACAATCCTTGGAGTCCTTGGAAGTGATTTGGTGAGTTTGAGGTCTAAAAAGAGAAGTTTGGAGTGAGTAGTGCTCGAAGAGAGACCGGAGCGACGTCCCCAGCGAGGCCCCCTGGTCGCTCCACATCAGAGCGACACCTGAAGGTCGCTCCAGCATCCAGAGTGACACTCGGAGCGACACATGATGGCCGTTCGCGTTCTCACAGAAAAAGAGCCTTGGGAGCGAGGTCTGGGAGCGACCTAGCCAAGCCGCTCCAGCGCCTAGAGCGACTTCTGGGAGCGACACGGCCAGGTCGCTGCGTGTCGTTTGTGTACGAAAAACTTGTTTTATTTTGGGACCTTTTGGTCATTTGTTTTATGTTCTGACATTTGAAAAACCTAAGTTAAGTACTCTGTAAGCCACGATTTGGCAGAGCTATCTTTGGTTCTTGAAGAAAAACTTCTTTAGATTCAAATTTTCATTGCTTTCATATTGAGTTCTTGTTGATTTCTTATCTATTTCTTTACATGATTAATCTGAAATCCAATATGGGTTTAAGAGGAATCATGGAGATTAGTAAGTAATTACCTTTTGAATTCATGGGTTAGGGAGATTAAAGATGATTAGGTTAGATTTGGGATGTTTTAGTGTTAGATTTCTCTTGTTCCTTGCTTATTAGAGTAACCATAATGCCTCTTTTGAATTGATCACTCAAAAGTTGATCTCTACACATTTCCCACTCACAAAGTGTTCGATGAAATGTCTGAGTCAACTCTCTTAAGCTTTTAACAGTCTTTACTAGGGACACTTGTTGTTAAAGGTGTTAAGATGGCTAATAGATCTATTCCTAATGATTACTTTCATAATATTCAACCAAAGACATTTGATGCTTGAGTTATGGTAGTAAATGAACATTCATCTAGACATAGAACTTGTTTAGAATCGTATCTAGGCCTAAGGTAGACAGTTTAATTGATCGCTTGCCATCCTTAGATCGAAACTTGATCACCCAAGGTCAAATTCCCTATACCAATGAGTTCTCCTTTATCTTAATTGTCAAAGTTATATCTTTTATTGCATTCTAGTTATAGTTAACCTTAAAAACCAATCAATCACATGACTGCACTTAGATTAAGCTAGTACTTGCATTCTCGGTGCTTTTAAATCCCTCAGAACTGGTTCGACAATCATCTATACTAAAACATTTGCCTTAGGAGCCTTGAAAAATCCTAACATCAACAGGATTACTAGCCGGAGTATTGTCTTCCAGGCATTCCAAAAGGACAAAATCCATATGTGCAATGTCCAAGATAAACATTTCAAATATTGCTATCAAAATCAAAGTGGACCAAATTTAAGTGTTTCCACGCTTTTGCATCTAAGAGATAATTGATCTCGCCATCCATCTGAGTATGTCCGACATGTTTTCTCATCGCTCTTGTAGTCCTCTCAGATTGATATAATTTCTTCAGTCTATCGGTAATAGGTAAGTAATAAATCCATTGCAGAATCGACGCTCCAACAGCTCTACATCTTTTCTCCAGTATATCATACAATTGTCTATACACATAGTTATCATCTCTGAAAGTGAGTCAAGACTATAACCAGTTTATAAAACTCATAGTAAGAATCCACAGACAAGTAATCTTTTGGCAACATTTTATGTACATCATCACACTTCTGAATCTTGACTATATGAATAAATGTTTATAAGAAACAAGTTCTTAACTATATTTTGTGAACAAAAAACTATTATATTTTATAATGAGGCCGAAGAAGACACAATTTTAAAGGTAATTCAATATCATATATATCATTTGGAAACTTTATATAACTTTATAAATCCAGCCACATTCCCTAATAAAGTGTAAACAATAATCAATAAATTCCAAACTCAACTATTTTTGTACTTTTGCTTGAATGTAGTATTAAGAAGTGGTATCCAATTTATAGTGTTTCAAGCAATTTATCTAGTATTTTCATTTTGAATTTATAGTTTTTCCAGTAAATATGTACTTTATGATTATTTTCACATTAATTCTCATTTTCTTGTAACAATAAAGGCGTTTTACTCTAATTATCCGATGTAAATTAATTTTATTAATTAATTATTTATTAATGATATAATTTTATAATAACAGTTTAATTGAGAATAAATTAGAAAAATTACATAGTAAAAACAAAAAAAAATGTAATGAAATGACGATGAAGCTTACTTGTTTATGGACAAAAACATATAAATATCACTTACTGTGACAATAATAATACTCTATTTTTATGACCAAATATGAAAACATATATCAAACATGTCTTTGATTTTTGTATGACTAAACACATATAAAAATCAGTCACGACAACATCCTAATTTTTTTTATTTTTGTTGATTAAATAGTTTTAGTATCATGTTTGTCATGAAATTAATTTTTAAAAATTACTATCAAATAATTATTTAAATTTTTATTTTTGTTTGGCTTAGAAAAGGAAACATCTATTTAATAAATCTTTATTATTTAGAATTAAAATGATAGAAAATACTATCAAATATTCTTCTGGATTTTTTGTTTAGGATTTTAGAAAAAGAAAATTATTATCATATAATCCTTGAAGAAAAATTAGACTACTATGACATAAATATTTCTAATTACTATTAAATTATTTCAAAATTACTATTTCTACGATTCATATCATAACTATTTTTACAATACTTTTAAATTAGATTATTTCTAGTATCATCTTCATCATCATATTTATTTTTAAAAATATTATCAAATAAAATTTTCAATTCTGTTTTTATTAGAACTTTTTTAAAAAATATGATACAAATCTCTTTTGTTCGAGATTTTTGCAAACACAGTAAACCGAAAGGTCCAGTGCAAACACATTAAGTCTTTTCGACTTAATGTGTTTGCTCTTGAGCTTTCTATTAGATCTTAGATTTGCTCCTTCAGATAATCCTCACTACCTTAAAGAAGCCCAAAGACACATAAAGCACAATTTAACCTTTCAAAAGCTAAAAAGTTTTAACAGTAAGCTTTATTATATGTATGATCAGTTAGCTCATCATGGCTGATTTTTTCTTCTTTCATTTTTCATACCTGACTTAGCTTGAAACAATTTTTGGGTGTGCCATAAATATGGAACAAATGATTTTCACTTTCCAAATGCTATTTGCTATCGTCACTAGTGATCCCGAAGGGATATTAAAAAGAGTTGAGTCAAGAAATAACGTCAAGCGCATCTGGTGTAGTGGTATCATAGTACCCTCCCACGGTACTGACCAGGGTTCGATTCCCTGGATGCGCATATTTTTGTTATTTTTTTATATAGCAAGGGGGATTGAGTTTTTAATTTTTATCAGCTTTTGGTTTGGTTGCGATGAGGGAGGACTAAAATCATAAAGAAAGGCCTTGCCAATGGCGACATTGGTACTGGTAGGGTCGCTTACTGTCTTCATAATAAATAAATAAATAATGAATCCTACCTGCAAATGGAAAAGATCAAAAGATACACAGATGTCTTATTCCTGGTCACACAAATAACTAGAGCTAGTAGCTGTAAGGTTTTGTCTACTTAATGGTTTTCATGCATGGAGCAGCCAAGAAAGAGAAGGATGGATCGGATTACCATATTTCTCCTGGCAGCTACTCTCGCTTTGTCTGCTGCTGTTAGAGGCGGCTGCGATGCTAATTACAGTAGAAACGATTTCCCTCACGATTTCGCTTTCGGATCCGCCATTTCTGCTTATCAGTGGGAAGGAGCTTTTGATCAAGACGGGAAAAAGCCTAGCGTCTGGGATACTTTTGTTCACTCTCGTAAGCCTTTCTTAATTTTGTTTTCTCTTTCCATTTTTGGAGTTTTGGATGTTAGTTAAATCATACTCGCTCTTACACTCTAACATCAGTTTTGGAATCAAAGTTTTACCACCCAAAATTAGGTGTTTCTTGACATTAACATCAATTTTGGGAATTTCAATGGTTTCAACAGGTAACGTAGATAATGGAGACATAGCGTGTGATGGGTATCACAAGTACAAGGTTCCCTTTCTCTTTCTTGGGACTCTAATACAAACTCTTAAAAAAAAAAAGAGAGAAAGAGAGAGACAGAGACTAATGTTTTATTAGATCGGCAAGCTATTGTTATCACCAACCACTATGAGATGATTTCCCATTGCCACTCTGCAGGAGGATGTGCAGCTGATGGTGAAAACTGGCTTAGATGCAATCAGATTCTCCATCTCTTGGTCTAGGCTTATACCCAGTTAGTGTGTCCTCTTAAACATATGCTCCCCCGTTCATATTTTTTTGAAGGGACCAATTCAGTTTATGTGTTCTTATCTCATTAGATGGAAGAGGCCCTGTTAACCCAAAAGGTCTACTGTTCTACAAGAACTTCATCCATGAACTTGTAACCCACGGTAACACCCCGTCTTCATATGTATATTCAATTACTTTCTGCGGTGCTAAGAGTCGATGTTTTATTAGAATATGTAACCTGTTGTACAGGAATTCAACCACATGTTACACTTTACCACTGCGATCATCCTCAGTCTCTCGAGGATGAATATGGAGGATGGCTTGACCGCAGAATTATGTAGTGGCATTTACTTCGCTTACTTTTATTCTATTAAAAAAATGACCCGAAAACTCAGTAACACTTGCTTTTATTTGCCAAAATTGCAGCAAAGACTTCACTGCTTATGCAGACGTGTGCTTCAGAGAGTTTGGAAACCACGTCAAATTCTGGACCACAATCAACGAGGCTAATATATTCACCATTGGAGGTTACGACGGTGGGGGTATACCACCTGGTCGTTGTTCTAGCTGCTTGTCAGGTAACTCTTCCACTGAACCATATATAGTAGCCCATAACTTGCTGCTTGCGCACGCCTCTGCTTCAAGGCTCTACAAGCAAAAGTACAAGGTAAACTTGCTTCTACATTTTATAAACCATGTATGAATGTGTGAGTTGATGACAAAGAAGCAACATGAAATGCGCAGGGTACGCAAGGAGGTTCTGTAGGCTTCAGCATATTTGCAATTGGATTTAGACCTGGTACGGACTCCCAGGATGATGAAATGGCAATTCAAAGATTCAAAGATTTCTTCTTCGGCTGGTGAGTCAGGGCACTAACTGCTCCAAAAGGTTTTTCATAGCCAAGTTTCAAAAGATCATTTTTAAAAATGTTAAATGTGTAAAAATCAGGATGCTGGGGCCTCTTACATATGGAGACTATCCGGATGTAATGAAAAGAACCATTGGAACAAGACTGCCTGTTTTCACAGAGGAAGAATCAGAACAAGTTAAAGGCTCATCTGACTTTGTAGGAATCATTCACTATCTTGCGGCTTCTGTCTCAGACGCCCAATCCAAACCTTTTTTTCCAGGAGACTCCAGATTCTTCGCAGACATGGGCGTATTGTTGACTTGTATGACCCAATCTTTTCAATAAACAAAACAAAGTATCTACTCTTTTATCCCGGTATTTTGTTTTAGCTAACCATTCTCTTTTACTGCTTGGGAGAGACAGACGATGGGAATTTCACAGCCTTTGAGGTAAAAGGCAAACCAAAATTCAGATTCAGAACTCTTAATACTCCTTATATATTTAAAGCTTTTGAATTCCCTCAAACCATCTTTTTAGTTGTTTTCTTGTTTTTCTTTTTTTTTGTTTGGACAAGTATGCTGTTGCTCCATGGGCTATGGAAGGTGTTCTGGAGTATGTAAAGCAGAGCTATGGCAATCCTCCTGTCTACATTCTTGAGAATGGTCCCTCTCTCTCTTTCTCTCTCTTGTTTTTTTGTCTTTCTCTGCTCAACTCTCTCTTGCCAACGCAACATATAGGTAAACCGATGAAGCAAGATTTGCAGCTGCAAGAGAAGGACACACCAAGGATTGAGTTCTTAAATGCTTACATGGGTGCTGTCCTCAAAGCCGTTAGGTAAGAAAAGTGTGTTTCTTACTTACTTCCTGTTCTCTGTTCTTTTTTTTTCTTGTCGGTGACACAACCTAAACATTTACTAAGCGCAGGAATGGATCAGACACTAGAGGCTACTTCGTGTGGTCATTTATGGATCTGTATGAGTTACTGAGCGGGTACGAGTTTAGTTTCGGACTTTACTCTGTGAATTTCAGTGATCCTCAACGCAAGAGATCTCCAAAACTCTCTGCACATTGGTACTCTGCTTTTCTCAAGGGCAACACCAACTTTCTTGATTCTCAAGGCATCATACAATTGCAGAGCAACTCGTCTTCTTCCTCGTAGTTATCTATTTATTTAACTTATTGAATAAAGATTTAAGTAGCGAATAAGCTGATTAAATCGGAATGTGGTTTCACATTTACATAAACTCTGCTGTTTTATTGCACACAAAACGACCCAACAAACACACACACAAACAGAAGAAAGTGGTAAGAAACAGGAAAGAGTGGGAAAAGACAATACAATACTAACACAAAACACAGAGGTACAATCATTTTATTTGAGACAAAACCACCGACAAGAGCCTTGTCCTTACTGTTTCTGGAGGTCAACGACCTTAGCCCAAGCAGGCCTGGCAGTGATCTTCTTGACCCACTCGCTAACCTTAGGGCGAGACTCAAAGAGGGCCTTGGAGTCGGTACCCATCAAGTAGTGGATGACAGGGAGGTGGTTGAGATCAGCCAAAGTGAAGCAATCACAAGCGAGGAACTCAGATTTCTCGAGCCTTGCCTCGTAGATATCCAAGACCTTGACGAGCTTGCCTTCGAGCTCTTGGACAGCGGCTGGGTCAGTGGTCATGCCAAACATGCCTTTGAAGACACGCTCGAAGGCAATCTTGGAGGCGATAGGGTCAAACTGTTGACCTTCTACTTGGAGCCAGACTTTGATGAGTGCCTTGACTTTCTTGCAGCCTGGGCAGAGAAGCTTCTCACCTTTCTCACTGTATTCATCAGCTATGTACTCTGAGATGGCTCGAGACTCTTCCAACCAAAAAAAAAAGAAAATAATAATAAAATCAGCAATCATTGATGGATTAACAACTAACCAAACAACAACAAGAAACAAAACTTACCGAATAGCGTTAAGTCACCGTCTTCAAGAGCAGGGATTTGACCAAAAGGCTAATAAGAAAAAGAAACAGACGTCAGATCTGATGATTAAAACTACATAACAAAGCTGTGTCGAGACAGAATGAGAGATGGGACTTACGTTGAGGGAAACGAAGGGCTCCTGCTTGTGAGCACCGGCTCTCATATCGACTGGGATCAACTCAAAGTCGAGTTCCTTCTCGTAAAGAGCGGCTAGAACACGCATGGTGGCGGTGGACATGGGGACTCCGTGGACTTTGATGCTGGCCATGGTTATCGTTGGAGGAGAAGGAGAAGATTTGGATGTGAATTTCAAGTTGGAATGAGAATGGGATGGAGACGGGTGAAGGTGGAGTTTTATAGGAAGAGGAGGAAGGAGTCGTCCTCGAAGAATAATACTACTCATTCTTTTATTTCCAGAAACTTCTCACCACCACCACTACCACGTCTTCCCCTCCCACTTTCTCTCTATTTCTTTACTCTGTTTATTCTTTCCTTTAATTAATTTTTCCTTTATCTACTACATTATCGCCAAGCGTCAGATATTTCCACATCTCACATGTTTCTTGTTTCTTTTTCCCCACACAAAAATAAATAAATAGTGATAAAAACGAATATTTATACCATTTTATTCTTTTTATTTCTATCGTTAAGCAAAGAATAAAGGAGTCATGACCAACAAAAAGCACTTTGTTAAAGAAAAATGACTGGATTATCATAGGAGCTAGATGAACAAGTCATATTCTTGTAGAACCCAATTGAACTCTGTTGAAGTAATACAGTATATTTGAAATTCTAGCACATACTAACATTTAAGTTACAGTACACGAATCTTATACATGAGAACGTGTACCTAGCCTATTTAAATAACACCAATGAAAGAAGATTGGCCGACAAACCCAGCCTTTTTTTGCTTATTATTCACTGCTTGTTGACATAAAATAAGCTCAGATGCCATGTGATCATCAGTGACGTCAGATTCGATCAACAACTACTTGACTATCAATAATTGTCAGATATCACCGAAAACGTTGTAATAAAAAGTTCGCATCCTTTTTTTTTATCTTTATGATATTCTTCAACCAAACAAATTATTTGGTACGAGAATGTTGAACCACTCCCATAGAAAATTTTATATTTTGTAAAAAAAGAAAAGAAAAAAGCTCGTTTGAGCACTCTTTCTTATTCCTTCCTTCCACTCCTCCATTCCTAAATGTATAAAAAACAATTATGTTTCATACAGCAGATTAAGAAATATTAAATACAATTTTTTCTAATCATTTTTATTTAATGTTTACTCTAAATATTTATCTTTATTTTTCTAAATTGTTGTAGTTAAACCATTTCCCACTTACATTCAGATCTCTTTCTTTAACCATTCATGTTTGTAGAAAAGTAAAAGTATATTTTCCAAAACTTTCATTTAAAAAAATCACTGTAAAAATAAGTACAAATTAATTGATTATTTTTTTTCAAAAAAAGAATGTTAATGTACAAAATTCTTCTTTGTTGAATAACATTAAATTATTAATTAAAAAATAATGTTAATGTACAAAATTCTTCTTTGTTGAATAAGATTAAATTCCATAAAATCTTATTTTCAGGAACGGATGAAGTATTATTTTTAGGCAGAATTTCAAGTTTACCCTATTTGTTGTCCCACAATTCATGTTTATCTTCACTAAAATGACATTTTCACAAATATCTTCTTCATTAAAAAGGAAAAATACTAAAGATAAATGCTAAAGATATTAAAGATATATAAATATCAGTAATTATTTAAAAATAATAAAAAACAAATGTTGAATTATACCTTTTTAAATTCACAAATTTTTATAATATTTTTTTCTAATTTTGTTTTTTCTTCAAGTTTCTTTTTGAAACTATTTTTAGAATTTTATTTTATTTTTAAGTATTTATTTATATATCTCATAAAATTCTAAACTCCACTTTCCAAAATTCATAACTCAAATCCAAATTCTAAGTCTAAATTAGTTAACCATAAAATTATAAGTGCATATTTATCTCTTTAAAACTAAGGATAAATATGGCTATGATAAATATGAAAATTGTATTAGAAATATGGTAATTTAAGCATTTTCTCTTATTTTTACTAGGTAAGAAACCCGCAAAATATCACCCATACAACTTATATCTATACTATTATTTGCGAAGTGATTTTTCGCAACGGAACTCTCACGTTAAAAGTTGGAGTGGTTAATATCGTTTATGCCCTTAATGAATTAAATATATAAATCAGCTAAAAATAAAAACGAATTTAATACTTATTTGATTAGATAAATGATATAAATTAATAATGATAACAATTATCCATAATATAAATATATATATATATATATATATATATATTTTAAAAAAAAGATAATTCCTATATATATTGTGTTGTTATCTGGAAAATATATTTTTAATAAAAACAAAATTCAAAAACAGAAAACAGATAAATAAATATTCATAAAGTAGAATTTTCAATTGTATATAATTTAAAAGAGAAAATTGAAAATTATAATACGTAATTATTTTTTAAATTAAAATAATATAATGATATATATTTATGAAGTTATTTTTCATCTCTGAACTCACACGTTAAATTAAATTTATATTTATATTTTATATAGTTACACCTTAAACATTAATTAATCATATAAAATAAAACATCATTCAAAAAGAAATAAAATACGTGTTTGACAAAAGTAAATTCAAATATATTGTATTATTATCCAAACTAATATTATTATTTTTGTAAATTCAATTTTGAATGTATATTTATCGATTCAATTTTTCAAATTGAAAGATATATTTCTATTTTTTTATCTATTAAGAAGAAATGAAATAGACTTTAGACTTTTCAAAGTTTTGAAGGAAATATTTTTTTGTGAATAACTTTATCATGTAAAAAAATTTAATTTTTTAGGTCGAATTTTTTGGATGAAAATAATCATTTATTTTGATGATTTTTAAATTAATTTAAAGATAATTAAGCCCGCATGTGCGGGCAAAACACCTAGTTTTTATATAAAACTGTTTAGTTTTTTTGAGAGAGTTCACGTGTAGCAACGTAGATTGAATATTTTTATATTCATTTATATATAATATTTAAAATGTGTAATTATAATTTTAGATAATAATCAAAACACAAAATCCTTAATACTATTTAATATATCTCACAGATATTATTTATAAGTGATTACACCAAAATTATTCTAAGAAAAAAGTGATGAGACAACCTATTCAAAAATATGACATGGATCTTACATAATAATACATGACTTAACACAAAGTTCAGTTATAAAAATTCAAATATAAGATTTAAGTATATTCATCACCATAACTAAAAAAAAAGCAAAATAATTTAAATCTTAGATAAAATTTATTATAAACTTACACTTTGTACAAGTTAACAAAAAAGAAACTATGGTGGGGGGGGGGTATTGAATATAGAATTTCAATCCCCCTATACATTAAAAGAGAAGTCACTTGGACACGTGGCACTCATACAGGCCTTCTCAGAGAAATTCTGAGAATCTGATTGGTTGATTTATTTTAATTTTCGTTTATATTTATTTTTGGTTCGCCGTGCAAATGGTATGAGAATCGTATCTCAAATATTTTGTTACGTTATTTACTTGCCTTACATTATATTCGATAACTTGCGAAAGAAGTTCGAAATTAAATGCCAAATATGTCAATCTCATACCATTAGGAAAGATTGACAATATATATATACGATGTCCTAATGTCTGTAGACCTAACACAAGTCTTAAAAACATCTATGGCAATGGTTAAAGCTACGAAAAATCGAGTGTCTTTCATCAGGGAATTGAGACCGTGTAAAGATACATGGCGTATTGAGGTTAGGATTATGCTTTTATGGAGAAACTACAATAGAGATTCCGGAAACACCATCGAAATGGTGTTTGCCGATAAAGAAGTAAGTTCATTACTTGATTCCCTATGTTAGTTCGATCGTTCTTAAATTTTTTTCAGCAAATATCTTTAACTCTCTTCTCATCACCGTGTAGGGGACAAGAATCCATGCTCAAGTCGGTGAAGTGCTCATAAAACAATTTGAAGGGAAACTAACCGAAGGCGATGCCAAGGTCATCAACTTATTTAAACTGTACGACGCTACGGGTGATTATCGAACCACCGCGCATCCCTACAAATTAAATTGGATTCTTTCAGACTACTTTTGTTGGACCAGCGGATGACTTCCCAAGTGAAGTTCCGGAGAAGCATCTTGTCAATTACAGTGATATTATTGATGGGAAGCTTGATAGCAGTCGTTTGGTTGGTGAGTGAATTCGTACTATTGCTTTGTCTTACAATATTTTTAAACCATCAAATATTTACTTCTTAACTTGATATGTAGATGTTATTAGCCAAGTAGTTAACTTCGGATCTCTTGAAAACAAAGTCATAAAAGGAAAGGATAATTTCAGGCTATTGATTGAGTTAAGGAACCAAAAGTAAGTTTTAATATTTTGCCTTTTCCTTTAGATTATTGGATCAGCTTTTCTTGTTATATCCAATAACCTTACTGGGCGTTATATGCAGTGATGTCAAGTTGATGTGTACTCTTTGGGGCTGTTATGCTAAACAAGTATATGATTACAGTATGTTAAACATGTCCACAATGATCATTGCTCTTATCCGGTTTTGTTCCATTAAAGAGTGGAAAGGTATAGTTCCTACACTTACTTACTTAAATGACTTATCTCATAACATCTTCATAAGCTTCGTGCTACCGCAGGTGCTTACTCCATATCTAGCGGGTACAATTCAACCCATATTTTGCTGAACCCAACATTGGATTTAATTGCAAATTTTAAAGCTAGGTATGTCTCATTGTATTTTCATCTTACCTTTTTACGAGAAACCATAGGTCTTATCACATTGTTTTACTGTGCAGTCTCCCCAATGATTCACTTGCTCTTACAAACAACGATAGTCGCCAATGATCCATTGGTAGTGCTACATCTGTTCGTGCTAGGTTTTTTGTGACTAATGAGAGGCTAACCATAAGGGAGATCATCGATACTGATCTGGTATATTTACTAAACAAGGCTGCGAATCATTATTTGTGCATTTAATCGTTAGAAAAATATTAAGTTGACGCATATTTTTAGGTTGGTACTTTTTTCACTCTTGTCACAATTGAAAGCATAGATGCTGATCGTGGGTGGCAATATCTAAGCTGGAAATACCATAACAAAAAAGTCATGCCAACAACCAATGTTGATGCGCTTAGCCGTCCCTTGTTCTTCTGCACTACATGCGATAAGGAGCACATTGAGGTCATTTCAAGGTAATGTATTCATAAATGATTGTTGCAATTATTACTGAATGTGCTTTAGACCTAGCATTCACTCTGTGACATATAAAGCT